GCGAACCAAGAAGAAATCAAGACCAAGATCTATAAAATCCCAATGCCCAGTGGGATTCCATTGAGCTCTGATTCTGGGAAATAAATAGTTATAACCCAAGGTTTTTTTACAGAAAGCTTTAATAATTAAGGCATTAATCCATGGGGATCTGATTCTTTGTTTTTCAGCTTTGGATAATAGAACAATCGGTGTATCATCATCGGGATCATCATCGATATCCGATTCCTCATCCATGTAGTCCGGGATGGTTGAGAATGTGAGGGCCACAGGGTCTGTCATTCCAGTAAGTTTCTCCTTATAGGAGGGTTGACCCCCATCAAACATTTGGATGTCAGAGGCGAGATCTGTTGAAGAAGATGATCTCAGAATATTCCCCTTATCTTGATTGCTTGGATGATTTTCAGGAATCATCTGAGCAGAGGCCTCTGTCATTTGAGCTTCCGTATAATTGCCAATCAATAAAATTGAGGGGCCAGAATTCCCATCTTTAATTTTTTTGACACTTCGAGCTAGGAGATCTTGCTCCTGAGCTGACGAACCGGAGGTGGTAACCTCCTTTGGTTGCATGTTGGTAGAGAGAAGCAGGATTCCAGGATTCCGATACATAGGGGATCTCCTTGCTTTAAGCCCTTATGGGTTTAAATTGCCAAGTAGCACGCCCACATTAATGTCAATGGCTAGATTAGCAGAAGAAATGCACGACAAGACCAAGGAGAATGGTATTGGGAAATTAAAGAATAAAAAAGCCCCCTAACAAAGCTCCATGCAATACAGTCATAAGGCTTTTCAAGATCGAATACAAATCATATGCCTTATCAAGATCCAATTTTATGACCGTGTCTCCCTCTGAACCCTTTCCTTAAAAGGAAGAGACAAGTTCACCAAGAATAAAAACATTATCCATCCATTTCCTACCAGGAATAAAACTCGTTTGAAAGGGAGAGATAATGATCAGCCATGTTTCTTGAGTCTCAAGTCTCAACACGATAATACAACTTCAAAAGCACATTTGAAACAACAATCATTCAGCACCTGAAGTATTAATCCCAGTCAAAATTTACCTAAAATCTCACCTATTTTAATTCTGTATTTGGTTAATTTGTAGTTTCATCTTCATTGTGGCACTTAATGATTACATAGGAGTTTTGTTGGTCAACTGAGGAAAGACCACCGAGGAGAAAAGGCCCAGCAAATTCTAGAGGGAATAAAACCGACCCTTGAACCACTTGTGAAGGTTCAATAGAAACAAGAAATTCGTCTAGGAGATTATCGCATTACTGACTCTTTAACGAAAGATCTTCCTGCACAACTGCAATTATGGCCAAGGAATATATAAGCACATCTATTCAACCAGTGAAATTTATCATTTAAAAATGTATTTGCTGGGACTCACGTGTATTGGAGATGAATATTCATAAATCGTGGGTTTTCTTTGCTTTGTGATAGTGTAAGAGAGCCTTCAATAATTTGATCTTGCTCCAGCTCTATTGGATCGTAAAAGTAGACCATTGTCTGCAAAATTGATGTTATCAAACATTTCTGGAAAATGCCTTTCATGAAACATCAATGGTTGCATCAAGCAAACAGTCTTCTACAATTTCTAGGTCACATTTCAAGCTGTTTGATGAGAAAAATGACAAATCACCTTCAGGTTATAAGTATATTTGTTATTTCTGGCTTTTAAGAGGTTAAGGCCTGTTGTACTACCCTATCCCATTAGTTAAAAATAGACATCTTCACTAATTTGAATCCTCACCCAAATTTAAGTTCAAATGTTGAATGATTGATGATGACATAAAACTGACATCATGATGCCATGATACATATGTAATGGACACAATGACAGTACAGACATAAATTGCACCACTTTGCTTTCAACTATACAACACACACATTGACGGTACAGACATGTAAATAACACCAATTTCATTTCGACTATATAATGCAATCAAATATCAGAAGCTGGCTCTAGTATCTGATGCAATTTTTTACAAGACCCACCATGCAACTAAATATTTATACTTATGATGAACTTAATCACCAGTGGCTACCATATGAAATCTGAGAGCTAAAAACCTTGGAATCTAGAAAAAAAGATCAACCATCCATTAACCATCATTTCATAGTTGTTAAGCATTAGCCAAAACTTGTCATGTTTCTGCATGCAAGTTTTTCTGTGTCTGAAAATTAGCATAAATAAACTCAATGAATATGGTACCTGTTGCCAATGTGTTGGAGGATCCTCTGGTGCGGTTGACAGTACTAGAGCTTCATTGGAATTTGATCTTTTCCTCCTTTGAATACCATCAGCTGTATTATCATGAGATGACCCGATTGGTGAGGATGTATAAGGATTGTTGGAAGGTGACATTATAGGCCCGATGAATTCAACATCAAACCAAAATGCAAATCCATGCAGTGGAGCTGCAAATCAAGAAAGCATGAATTCCATCCTTAATATATCATGGTACCAAGAGAAATAACAAGAACTGTCAAGGAAAAGTAGAAAGAATAAATAAAATCATGTACAAAAAGCCTAGGGACAAAATACAGGGCAATAGTCAGAAATTAAATAACAAAGATTCTCTGTGGAAAGAAAGAAACGAAACCAACAATGAAATGACAAAAATTCAAGCACACGATTAAAAATTAACATGGGGAAAATGTTTCAGCTTATTAATATAACACATGGTGATGCAAACTGACAAAAGAAAATTAGATGCTATGGTTTACCTCGCATCATTGACTGGAACTTATACTTTGCTGTAACAGATTCTAGTTCATGAATTTGAACAGTATAGCAGTCAACATGCTTAACCTGTAAATGATAATAATATTCAAAGCTTTACATGCTGTATCTTCCAAAACACATATACAAGAGTACAAGCAAGCTGCAGCTCAAAATCAATGCAGGAATTCGAGATATGAAAAAGATCATAGTTTCATGACTCAAGTTCACTCAAATGTGCCAGAGCACTCATGATGTAAACACATATAATCATGTCCCAATATTAGTTCATTATGATGTTTGGTCACCACATACATAGCAGATGTGTATTTGCCATTACAGAAATGAGAGTTCGTAGAAACCTGTAGTTGATGGGCTAGCAGAGAAGTAAGGTTAATCATCATATAAATAGCCTGCTACCATGCAAGCAAAGCCCATCCACTAATCCTAAGTATAGATGTGAGATAGGAATAGGATGGAAACATGTTCTTCATAAAGAGAACTAACATTAGATATGGCATAAAATAATAGTTATGCAAATGTGTACTAGCTTAATTCACAACATCATGTATATTCCTCTCACAGACCAAACACCCAGTACCCCCCCCCCCCCCCCCCCAAAAAAAAAAAAAAAACACATCATAATTCATGACGACCATCACTCTTGGTAGTAGACATGCAATAACCAACAGTCCCTCTTGGTAGACCCGCAACAAAAATGACATCTATCATATTTCTGAGTATGTCTTAGAAATGAATTAGTGAAATTTAAAATTTGAGAATTTTTGTATCAACATTAAAAGTAACCACATTGTAACTTTAGCAGTTAATCAAGTAAAAACTAAAACAAGATGCAGCACTCACCACATGTGGCCAAGTCAAAACATTCTCACCAGTTATTGTCTCCACACATGGCTCTTCAAATGCACACTGTTTTGCCAATGGCATCATAGCAGACACTACAAGGAAAAATTAAATGATTAGATTTGTATCACTCAAAAGAGGAACTAGGCAGCAATAAGCAGGCAAAAAAGATTATAGGTGTGAACATGCACCACTCAGACTCTAATCTGTCACTTTGAATAACTATAAGACAGCTCTTTCATGAAATAAACAATTACAGTAACAGAACAACTTATGTTCTATGATTTATGGATATTAATGCAATAGATGCCACACATCAAAATGGAATGCAAATATATATAGACACATAGAATTCATTGACCTTTCAAGGTCCAAGACAGTGTAATTTTGAACTATATAATCTAATGTTACACATCAGAGTGGAATGTAAATATATAACAAGACACTTACAATTCATTGACTTTTCAAGGTCAAAGACAGTGTTATTAAAGCTACAATAAAATATTACATGGAAACTATGTTTATGCTTTTGAGTTTGGTTGCCTCTGATTTAGCAAAAGAAATGTTGAAAAAAAATAGCAATATTGAAAGGCAATAATATAAAGGAAACAAGGATAATGGATCGGCAGAATAAAAAAAGTTAAAGCAACCCACTATTCTCTCTCTGAGTTTTCTAGAATGCTCTTTGCTCCTTTCACCATACCAGCCCACCTCCAGAAAATAACTTATGCCCATGATTTTACTCAGTTTTTTTTATTGGATGGTAAATACATAATTAAAAGAACTTTAATATCTTTTACAGTCCCATATGGTCCCTGGGGAGCAGCACAACACTTAGAGCTAGAGACAAGTTAACAGCTATCCCATGTTATTTACCCTACATGCAATGCACTGAAATAAAATGTACTTCCCCCCTATCGCCCAATCAAAATACAGTTCTACATTTCTCTCAAAAAAGCCATCTACTTCAACCTACATTTCAATCAGTATTATTTTGCTTCACTTCAAAATAACATGTACAGCTCCTAGTAGCTGCATCTATCTTGCAAGTTCAAACCTCCAATCAGTAAAACTGATATGCAATTAATATTTCAGCCAGTGGCTAAGATATTGGTGACTAAGACAGCTGGCTTATTGACATGGAAGAAAGTTAATGGTTTCATTATTAACAGGGATGCAAAATATAATATAGCCATTAGCCTGTGCAAATCTGATGTAGCTAGGACCTGCAATACAACAGTGGAAACACTAGGCAAAAGGGGGCCGAAATTGCCTTCCCACATGACCTCTCCAAGAGTGAAGTCAATCAAGGTTTGAAAGGTAGGCGGTGAGCGAAAAGGAAAACTAAGTATTAAGGACCATACTTCTTTTGGGAGTGAAAAATTCCTTTATACCGTGAGACTTTGTTAATAGTTCTATAGCAATTACACACTTGGAGGTTTGTCAGACCTTGGTGTGGAATGCCTAGACAAATATGTCAAGTGAAGAGTTAGAGGATGTTCCTCCATAGTATGAAGAGGGGATGCTCCAACAGTTTTTGCATTTTGGGTAATTGTAAGCCCTGCCAATGACACTTGAGCCTTTTGGTTTTACCTTTAAAAGAGCCTTAATGGGAGAAAGTTAGGCCCTTCTTACAAGCCACAACCATTATTGATTTCTAAATTTAATCCATCACTAGCCCAAGTCAAGGGTAGGTTTCAGCATACAGGTTAATGGTTTATCGCTGTTTGGTAGGTTCCCACAAACAGCACCAAATGTAAGGGGTTGTATTCATTCAAGAAGGTATCATCTGCTTTTGTTTGGTAATTGTAGAAGAAAAGTGAATTTTTCACATTTGAGATCAAAACCCCGCTTCACGTCTTCCTGAAATCTACTGTAAGTGCAACCGAACCTTTAGAATCTTCTTCACTTGACCCTTGCATCAATCCTGACCACACTGCCCTATGTTTGCTAATCCTTAACAAAGCTAACCTCAATGACTTATTGATTCACACTACCCCAAAAAACAGCAACACCACAGATCTAGCACCTTCTTTAACCTCAGAAATTTCAAGATCATCAATCGAAACCACATTTTTCCCATCAAAATTTTCTCATTATGCTTCTCAAAGAATTTTCCTACACTATTAGAAGAGGAAGCTAGGCTAGGAGATGGAGCTAGGATAGGGAGGAGTATCTTGGGAAATCCTTTGGGCATAATATCAAACATTACCAAAAAAGCAAAGGAACAACCAAAGCAAAAGAGAATAAAATGGGCAGTTACTTTGGTCTTGCCTGGAATGCTTAAACAATGGGATCCTAAGTGGTATCTAACGCTCCGACATCTGTCCGAGTGGAGCAGCATACACAGCCACTTTGAGGGGACAAATGGTATATGTTGCAAATAACCCATATGCATGGAAACATTAAAGGCCTCAAGATGCTAGATGCGTCAAAAAAGAACACACCCGCACATCCTCCCCTTTGAGCTTGGAATACAAGACATGAATAAGCCCAACAGACAACTAGAGGTCACGGCACATCAATTTGGTCTTACCCATGTCCAGCAAGCCTCTAGGTGTGTAATCTCTACAAAACAATAATCCAATTGTTCTTTATAGAATCCCATCATTCACTGCCAAAGAAAGTTTCACTCTTAGACCCTACTTTTTCCCTCATCTTCTTCTTCTCAAGCTACTAACTTAACTTCTCTAGTACCCTTTTCACCAAATGCTTCCAATATTGTTATGCAAGTCCCAGCTACTACATTAGATTTGCACAACATAATTTGTTATTATCATTGTTTTCACTAGCTTGCTTTTAATCTTTACTTTCTAGTATTGTAAGCGCTTCTTTTCTCTCTCAAGGGTTGTTATAGCAGTTTAAAACTAGTGGTTAGTAATTTCACCAAATCTAATGGTTAATAATTCTTGTTATTAATAATTCAAACACTCTTATTCGTCCAAATAAACGAAACTGCTAACCACTAGTTTCAAACCACTATACCAAACACACTAAGGTTTGAAAGCCATCCACCTCTCTTTTAATTAGTCTTGATTTCCGTGAGGTGACAGTAGAAAGCATAACCACAAGGTTAGATATAGTCAAATGCAAAAGCAAGCATGCTGAAAGAATACAAGTCACATGACTATATAGAAATAAAACAAAAATGTAATTAGCTTCATATGGTTTAAAATTTCATAGAGTCAAAGTCATTACTCACTATCAATTCCATAAACATTGCGCCAGAAATCAATGCTGTAACTGTATCTGTCAGGATTTGTGATAGGTGCCATGTACAACTACAGGCAATAAATAGTTAAAAGTAATAGTCAGTCAATATATTTTCTTCTCTAAACAACCATATTCTAATAACGGCAAATCTCCATAATAATCAAAAATCATGACATGAATGATTAATTCGAGTAATATACAAAGAAGTGTAGAATTTAAATTGAATAAAGAAATATTCCACGGATGTCAGAACAAAAACAAGAGAATAGCATGCCTTAATCCTGTAGAAGGGATTGGCTTTAGGACAAGCAAGAAGAAAAAACAAACCGTTGCATTTGAAGGAAGAATAAGACCTCCACGTTTTAGCCATCTATCTCTAGCAGTAATAACACTTCCCAGCATACTCTACATTTGGAAATCATAAAGACAATGAGAATCATAAGAATAATTATACCAAAAATTGAAGATGCATAAAAAGAAAAAGAAAAAAAGAAAGAGAGAGAGAGAGAGAGAATGAGGATCTACAAAGAATAGTTTGAATGAAAATTACAATATCATGACCAAACCTATAGTGCTGCAGGGAAGAAATATAAATTTATCATTAATTTAGGTCAAGATCATGCATGATTTTAACTGCAACCTCATAAAGAAGCATGTAGCCCATCCATTCTGATATTATTACATCAACTTCCTCATCAATTTCAATATCCTGCAAAAATATAACAAGAGTAAATTGTCTGACTTACAGAAAGGGATACATAGTTCAGAGAAAAGGAAATTCATTTAAGTCAGTGAAAGCATGCATGTGTGCATGTGCATGCACTGAGATGCAAAAATATTTTCCTGCCTGACAGACCCTCCTGCCCACTCATTACCACTAGGAGTTCAAAAGCAACCCTAGGTGCCAACCATCATAATGGTCATTTTCTGCAAAAACTTACACCCTAACATGTTCTTCTATATTTATGCTGCTTAACATAACCATGCCCCTCCCTCCTATTCTAAGATAAAGGCACATGGTAGAAAACTACATTTTTCCATTCAATAATTAATCTGACCAGCATTAACAACCCCAAACAAATTCTTAAGTTGGAAACTTGTGAAATAAAAAAGCTTAACTTTACCACCATCCTATTCCTATGGCAAACCATAAGGTCCACAACTCTTTGTGGAACCCATGTCAATTGAAAAACGTCAGTATTGGCATCTGCCAGCATGTCTGCAGAGTGGTCTACCAATAATAGCAATCATGTCATTAACCGTTCTCCAGTTTGGAAATGATATCAGCTCTCCAAATTTCTAATTAAATCCAAGCTCAGATATCTTGTTTGTTGGAAATATTTGCAGCAACAAAAATGCATATAACCATCCTATTAAAAATGAGACATGTTTAGTTCTACCTTCCTTTTTTAGAAGCACTTATTTCTGACCCTGTAGCAAAAGGCACTAGCAAGACATCCAATTCCACCACATAAAATTAAATCTGTGCACTTTCATTGGGGAAAGAAAAAACTTACTTAACTTTAAAATTAAAGAAAGAAAAAAGAAAGAAACATATGCCTGTTATTACCTCAACTCGCCCATGCAATACAATGACCTTGTCAACTAAGTTATTTGCCTTCACAACTTCATTTGCCTGATTTTGAAACAGCAACAATTAGTTCAGACCCAACAGCTAACTTTCATATAAACATACTTAACACAGATCACAAATGAAAACTGAATCATATATTCTAAGCTACTTTGAGCATCAGAGTTGATTACTACAAGGCCCCAAGAAACATATTAAAAACCAAAGAAAAGGTCTAGACTATAGTAACTATTATAATGTCTAATATTCTCCAATCAACTGAAACCTATCTGGCGTGTCTGTAGTAATCAACATGTGGACACATTCTTGACACATGCATGTTGAAATGCACTTTTAGAGTATCCGATTTTTGTATTTATTTTTAATTTTGGATGTGCTGGGGACACATTTTTGGACATGCTGGAATACATAAGTCAATTAAATTAAAGAAAGGGTTAAATTCTAATTTTTTTACAAACTTAAACTAACCTCTATATAAAATAATTAAAATGTAAAGGTCCCAAACAAAATAAAACTAATCTATTACATTTTAAAATAAGTCAAGAAATCAACTAACTCTAAATCTTTTTCCTATATCTATTATTGCATATATTTTTTTTCTTTATGAAAATTAGTCTTCAAATGTGAGCGTTAAATTAGTGATTCCAAGTATATTTAGATCTTAAGACCTGACATTGTATGAGATTTTTTTATTTATAAATATTTAAAAATATATCTATTTTATTTTACGTATCCTTAAAGTGTTGTATCCTAAATTTTTGAAATAGCGTACCCATGTGTCCATATTGTGTCATATTTGTGTCACATTTCCATGCTTCTTAGGCTGAAACATCTACCACCAACTCCACATAAAAAATGAAAAAAGTACCATAAATGCAAGTTGCAAAATCAAATGAACTACCTAGACAACTTCAAAGATGAACTGATTACAAACTGAAGCTTTCTAAGATTTACCTAAATTCAATACCTTGCCAGGTCAAATGGATTCAGCTTATACATGCTCACAAGTATTGTTATATTGAGGTGATAAAGGAATTTAAAATATTGCATTTCTATTAAAGAAGGTACATAAAAGTCACAATGTGAATGCTGATGGTCGTGTCATTTAATACCTTTTGTTAATGTTAACATACTAGATGCAGCAAACAAGTTTTCATTCCATAAACCCAATGGATTAACCAGGACCTGCATACAGTTCATACTTTCCTTTCCCCTTTTTTCTCTTTTTTTTTTTTGACTTCTCATTAACAGAACCTTCTCATACTCTATTTGTTGTACTCATTACAGTGGGAAAATGATGAGGATTGGAAAAATAAGAACTAGTAAATTGGAACTTTGAGATCAGATGTTGAAACAACAATTTAGTGGAAACATTGACAATAAGCACCAGAGAAACAAATACCTGCACTGCTATAGAACTTGCATCCACTGCATACACCTGGTAAGAGATGAGAAATTTCACCCAAAAGAGGAATTTATTTGAATGAATTAAATTGCAATAATACAATGTCTCTTAAACTTTTTTAAGAAGATTAATAAAAGAATTAAAAAAAAAAAAACAAAAACAGAACAAGAAGCAAAAGGAGAAATATGGTCCCTCATCTGCACAACACAGCATCACAAAACAGGACCTATTCTTGGTGAATAAATTAAGGTAAGCCTCCATTTCCTTTTTAACTGATGATGATGATGATAAAAGTCATAAACAACTAGTAGACTCAAAAAGTGAAAACAATTGGCTTTTCTAATACTGGGTATGTGTTATTAATGAAACATCCCAGAGACCAATTGTCCTTTATCATTTTCAGAAATTAGGATAAACCACATATATGTGAAATATTCTGGTTTTCCCTATTGAAAAAATGTTTTTCAGTGCAGACTGCATCTTTTTTGTGTAGTCTGGGTGCTGAAAATATCTAAATACCCTTAATGAAACTATCCTAAAGCTTACTTGTTAGTGGTGTTTTTGTAATTTCAGTACCTGGACTGCACAAAAAAAGTGCAGTCCATATTGAAAAACACCTTTCTCTTTCCCCAGACTGCAGAGCAAAATATATATAAATATATATATATATCAGAAATGCTCCAATTTCAAAGTTTACATGTCAATGAAAATTGTGGCATAAGGTTTTCACAACATCTATGCTTCAAAGGCTCTTACCCGCTTTGCACCTGCTTGAGCACAAAATATAGAAAGAATGCCTGTGCCGCATCCGACATCCATTACAACCTGAAAGCATGTCATATCAGATAGTAAGGTAGCAAACCAGATAAATTTATCTATGAGTTCTCATGAAGCAGATATGATACCAATGCTGAAAAGGATGATGGGAGTGTTGTAAATATGGGTTAGAGTACCCCTTGTACTCTGTATTAATAAAAAAATCTTATTTGGCTGATCAAAAAAATAAAATAAAATAGAAGTTCGACATGTCAAACCCAATTATCTAACTACACCAGACAATATTCTATACATGCTACAAGCTAAGTAAAACAGGGCTATTATCAAAGAATAAAGAGATCATAAATGATATATTTTTTTTATCAGCAGATCAAAGATGACATATAACCAAGAACTATGATATTACTTTTCCTTCAATAAATCTCTGATGCTGCATAATGGCACTCTTATAAGTTTCAGTTCGTACTCGATCCTGCATGCTTCAAAAAGAAATTATATTAGAAAATTAGTTGAGGCAAAAGGAAAGCCACAGTTGACCCAAATGACAAAGTTCAGCAACTCATTTTTCAAAATTATATACTTTCAGTAAGTACAAAATTGTTGATAAAAGAGTGACATAAAAATAATTATTATGAAGAACTATATTGGCATTTACAAGTTAGGAAGAGAAACAACATAAGCTATAGCCAGAATTAAGGATACAGAGCTTAATTTAACAGAAAACAGCATCCTAATCTAGACAATGAATTCATGATTTGTCTCCACCTTCCACAACAAAAATTTTGTAGATAACTATCAGTCAAACTAGTTTAAGAAAATGAAAATGAAAAAGGAAAAAAGAAAAAAAGAAACAGATATACACACACCCCTATTTGGAAACAATAACAAAGAAGATAGTTACTAGCCATTTACAGTCAAAATCACCAACAGTCATGTGAGCATCTTCATATGCAACAAACAGAAACTCATGAAGGATAAATTAAATCACAGGAAAAAAGAAACAATGCTGCATCCTGGGTATGTCTATTTCACATTGCTACATTCTAGTTACACCAAATTCTAGCAAGTGCAGAACTTCACTAATTACTCCTTACCCAACACAGAGAAAAAGGCACACTTAAGCAATTCGACCCAAAACCATCAGGTTGGACACCTCAATGTAAATCTTTAATCTCACAACCTAGTTAACACAAACATGCCGCTACTAATTGAAACAACAAATACCAACAACCAAAGCTGAAGCAGAAATTAAACCACAGGAAAAAAGAAACAATGCTGCATAAGTATACACAAGTAGTTACATAGACGGAGTAAGGGAAATGAAGGACCTTGATCATCTCTTCATGGATGCCGACATGAGCGTAGGAGTTGAAGTAGGCGACGTCGAAGTCTGTGCAGGGCGGAGGCGACGACTGCTGCTGCCGCTGTGAGTGCACGCCAACCCTAAGTCCGTGAGAATCACGGGCCCGGCGACCTCTTTTTCCGACCCTCTCTCGGTGGCTAGTCTCCATTCGCTTCCCTTCCGAGTTCTGCGGCTGGTGGTTACCGTTACTGTAACTGTATCCCGTGGTCGCATACATTTTCTACTTCTGTAGATTCACGCCAAACTATCCTGAAAGTCGGGGATAGTGCTGCGGGAAAGAAGAAAGTAACGGCAGCGTTTTGATGCGGCTTCAGTTGAAACCTAGGAGGCGGGGGCCGCTTTCAGATTCAAGCGGCTTATGGAGAAGGCTTGTGTCCATGACCTATTTTCAAAAAAAAAAAAAAAAAGAAGAAGAAGAAGGGAGAAGGCTTGTGTTATGCATAGAAATAAGATAAAAATTATTTGCACATCTCTTAAAAAAAAGTTTTGATAATTTATTTTATTATCATAAATAAATGAAATTTATTATAATTTTTTAAATAAAAATAATTATTATTTTTAAAAATAATAATAATAAATAAATTTTAATTATTTGTAATAAAAAATAAATTATAAGATTTTATATAAGTATTATATGTAAAAATTATGTTTCACTTATATTTATATAAAGTTAATTGTGTGCGTAGAGTTATGATTCACTTACATATAATTTTTATACATATTACTTATATAAAATTTTAATTATTCAGTTTTTTATTATGAATTATCAAAATTAATTATGATTTTTTAAATAAAAAATTAACTTTCTTTAAAAATAGGATAAAAAATACATAGATTTCAATTATGAATGACAAGATGAATTTTGATAAGCAGTACATATCAGCCATCAAGCACTAAAGCAATTTGGATGGGTGTGTTCCTTAAAAGTTGGTTTAGTTCTTATTTTAAAAAAAATTAATTGTCTAACTTGAATTATAAAAATATATATTAAAAATACATTAATTATATATTTTTTATTAATTTATATAAAGCACTACATAACACAACTTCATTCCAATATCAATAATATAGACACTGATTTTAATAGAGGGATTGATAAAATTGAAGTTACATTTATTTTTTAAAAAATAATTAATGAGAAAAACTACAATAAATACACACTTAAGTTTGTAAACTTAAAATAAAAAGTTTGTTGGGAAAGTCTAATATTAAAAATAAGAGAAATATTATGTAGTGTAAACTATATTAAATTATATGATATTAACTATTACATAAAGAATAACTCCTCTAACATTAGAAGTGTCTATTTCAATAATTTTTATTTTATAATATAATATAATTTAAAAATAAAATAAATTACTCTTTTCTCTTTTTAAGAATAAATTTTAGAGATAGGGGATTGATAAAAGATGGATCTTTCACAACTTTATCTTTGAAGAACACTTTTTTTTTTTCCAAAAATGTGACATGCTTTGGATTTAATTGGATAAGGCCAAAAAGTTTGAAACATGCAAATGTAAATTTCTTGTAGAAAATGTGAGATGGTGAGAATTTCTTTGAATGAGAGTTTGGGCAATTTTTGTAGAAAATCATGAGTTGAAGGACTTAATTCAAAAACAAGAAAATATGAGGACCAAACTTAACTTTTTTCTAAGTGTGAAATGAGCATGATATGAGTGTCAATTTGACATGAGATGGAAGATGTGATGTAAAGTTAAATATGGGTTGCAATAAAAAATGAGATGGAAAATGTAATGTGAAATGAACATGGGTGAAATTTTCATTTTTATGCATTTTTTTTTTATAAAATGTGGGATATATGAGAAATATAAGATAAAGATAGTAATGATTGAAATGAAATAAACATGGATGAACTTTTCATTTTTATGCAATTTTTTTATGAAACATGAGAAATATGAGAGATATAATATGGAGATAGTAATGCCTGAAAAGGAATAAGAGATGAAAAATGAAAATGGATCTAATTTTGTTTCTATGTAACTTTTCAAACTTTTTTTTCTTTTTGGAAGTATGAGATGGAAATAGTAATGCTTAGAATAAAATGTGAGATGGGAAATGTAATGTGAAGTGAATATGAATGAGATTTTTTTTTATTTTTATGCAATTTTTTTTAATATGAGATGGGAGATGTAATGTAATGAACATGGGTGGCATTTTATTTTTTTGGGAATTTTGTAAAATATGAGATGAAAATGAAATGTAAAATGAATAGGATGGAGAATGTCATGTGAAATGAACATGAAAGCATAAGTTGTGATGCATGAGATGGAAAATGCAATGTAATGAACATATGACATGTGAAATGTTCATGATAAATGGAAGATTTAATGTAAATGAATGCAATGGATGCATGACATGTAAAACAATTATGAAACTTTTTTTTTTTTTTTTATGATGTATGGAATAGAAAGTGAAAGTTCAAATGTCACGCCCTAAAACTCAAATTCGAGGCGCGACAAACGCCGTGCACTCATGAGAGGGTCCCATAAATACACAAGTTTCGGAACTTATCATACTACAATTTGATACCACAAAATCTGAAGATAAAATCTTAAAATCTGCTCTGATATCATAAAATCTCCAAATACACTCTAGTTTACAAGATCATGATTTATATCTAAAATCTATATCAATCTCGAAATGGCTAGCCTTCTAACTCGTCACTTCCCATGGTTTCCCCGTCCTCGGTTTCGCTTCCTAAAATGGTGGACAAGGAAAAACTATGAGATAAACTCAGTAAATAAAATATGGAGTGCCCTTAATTAAACTTATAGCATGTCAACCAGTATAATCACGAAAACGGGTACGAGTATGGAAATGAATTAGACGTCTCCTCTATAGGTCACGGCCAGTGTTATAAACCTCTCACTGGCAGGCACACGATTTACTAGTGTATAATCCCCACTAGCAAGGTCACTTGAACGGACCGGTTCTATCAATAACATGTCGACATGTGCTAGCGTTTAACCCCCACTAGTAGGGTCACTAATAACATGACCACATCGGAGACAAAACATGCTGAAGTTAACAGAAAGATCATAATTCACTAATCACTTTCCAATTATCAGGACAATTAATTAAATTTCAAGTAAGCATGCTCAATTTAATGAAAAGCATAAAAATTTCATTTCAATCAATCATACTTACTTTTGTATAAACCGGGTTTAGTCCCGCCACCACTTCAAAAACAAGTTAAAACATGCTTTTAAAAATTGTACGGGTATTACCATAAATTCACTTACCTCACTCGCATAAAACCGAAGCCTTGATCTCAGTGCTAAATTGATAGAACGATCGGGAACCTAATCAAAATATCCAAGAATTAATACGGCACTATCACAAATTCAAAGTGAAAACTTCATTAAGATCACCCCTAATTGCGATGCTATTCCTATCAATCTCCACATTTGTTCTTATATCACAAACTAAACATTTAAATCTCTGTTAATTGTTAGCCATTAGTGCGTGAACAGTGCCTGTGAACAGTAACTGCACTTCCAAAATTGGTCAAAACACTAGCTAATTTCACTGGATTTTCTCTCCAAAAATCACAGCAGTCAATTAACTAATTTTCTACATGAATTAAGCAACAAAACACACTTAAAATGCTC